CGCGGGGGGCGGGGGCCGCCGCGCCGGCCTGTGGGGACGCTGCTGTCACAGCCGTGCTGAGCGTGGCACGCGGGCACTGCCCGCTCCGCCTGACCAGCCTATTTATAGCTCCTGATTCATCTCCATGAAGCCAGATAATAGACGTTGCCATAGAAACCTGATGGGCCCGCGGCTGCAGCCGGGCCTTGGCGCGGACAGGGGGCTGAGACCCCCCGGGGATCCCAGGGGACCCCAGGGGACAGGGTACACCCATTGGGGGCAGCAGGGCTGGCAGAGCTGGCTGGGTGCTGGTGCCACCAGGCTGCAGTGCTGGTGTCCCCAGGGAGGGTCTCACCACCCACCTGGTGAGGGTCCCACTCTGCCATGCCATCCTGGCAGTGCCTGTTGATTAACCGGGAGTTAATTATTGTCGGTGCAAACAGCCTGGGAGGGGACATGGGCAGGGCTGGGGGTGCCCAGCCAGGCTGGTCAGGACACTGCAGAGCAGGTCTTGGGGGGCAGTGGGCAGGGGGAGGCAGAGGCTATCAGGAGGGGGTTGCAGAGCATGCACTGGGGCAGGGGGACTCCAGGTTTTGGGGGAGACTCTGGAGCCTGCTGGCTCTGCTTGCTGCTGAAGGAGCCACCTCTGTGCCACAGGCCTTCCTGGCAAGCCCCAGCATCGTGCCCCATGCTGTGACCCCACCATGGGGCCCAGCAGCCCACCACAGCCCCCCCGGCACTGCCCGCCTGGTCATTGCCCCTCACGGCAGAGAAGGTCCCCAGGGACAGGTCCCCACCCAGATGATGGCTCCTCATAAAGCCAAGCACTTCCTGGCACCTGCCCCACGCCCCAGGAGCCTGGCTGGGATGGGACATGATAAATATTTATTTCCAAGGGGCGGGAAGTGGGGTGCCAAGGCCACGTGCCCCCACCCCGGGGAGGGTGGAAGGCCACAGGGGTGGAAGGCAGTGGGGATGGCCACCATGTGTGGCGGGAAAAGCCTCCTGTCCCCAGGGGGGTTGTCATTGTCACAGCAGTGACAGCCAGTGTGTCCCTCCCATCTGCCAGGTTGATGCAGGGAGAGTATATAAGTTATGGGGGGTGCTGGGGGATCCCCATGCAGGGTGTCACCTGGAGTGTGGCAGTGGGCTGCACCACTCTCCTTGTGCCGTGGCTCATGCCATGGGCCAGCGGGTGGGCAGCTCCACGTCTCCCATCTCCTCCTGGTAGCGGCGGTTGAAGGTGGAGTTTTGCTGGGGGGAGAAGTGGTCACGCCAATCCCCCACCACACCTGAGGGGCAGAGAAGACAGGGAGGCTGTAGCCAGGGCTGCCGTGTGCCCGCTGTGTCCCCCCCAGCCTGTCCCCAGCCCTCACCTTTCCTCATGAAGCGTCCCTGGCTGTGGTCCATGATCTCGGAGGGGATGAGGGTGTAGTTGGCCATGGTGTTGTCCCTCATGGCAGCGAAGCTGCAGTGCTGCTCCAGGGCTCCCAGTGTCTCCGGACCCAGTGGGCAGCCCAGGAAGGCAGCAAGACGCTGTGCTGTGCCACGCAGGTCCTGAGGCAGAGGGGACAGGCACCCCTGCAGCCCTGGGGACAGGGCTGGGGACAGGGACAAGGATGTCTGGGGCAGCCTTGAGGCAAGGGACACCCCCCCCCCCCCCCAGCCTTACCTGTGCCCTCAAGGAACTGCGTCAGGAAGGTGTCAAAGGAGCCAGGGTCAGGCAGGAACTTGGCCAGGTGGTGGAAGTGGTAGAAGGAGACGGCAACGTCCTTGGGGTTCCTTGCCACGTAGATCACCTGGGGGTGACACCGTGTCAGCCCCGCAGCCGGGGGATCCCCCACTGCCCTGCTCAGCAAGCCCCGGGGCAATGCCCCCCCCC